ATAAATTAATATGTCATTTGACAGCTCATTGTCATATATAATTTCAATGCACATATTTTTTCATATCTAATATTTATTGTAAATTTTAGTCTTGTGGATGGTTAAATAACTGATATTAAGCTTAACGTGTACATATATTATTATACATAAACAACAGAAGCATATAAACTTTACTCAATAAGGACCAATTCTCAAAGTTGCTCCGAAATATTTGGTTTTATAATACCAGACATATCTTAAAATGATCACAATTTTTTCTTAGTGCTTGCTGTATTGGTAAATAATTATGTATGCATTACAATTTGTAACATTGATCACTTTTGAAAAAAAAATTTTTTTTTAAATTATAATTTTCACCATGCCAGGAAGCAAGATTTCTTTAATAATTTTTTTTGACGTCACTTTATATGTTTAATAGATAAATTAGTCAATTGATCTAAATATGTCAATAATTGTGGATTAAATAATTATGATTTTGAACTTACTTAGAGGGTAATTTTATGATGTTTTTGATTATTGTTGTGATATTATCATTATCATTAACATTACCATTGTTGTTACTTCCACTACCACTATCATTATTATCATTAGTAGTGGGATCACTACTACTGTTATTATTGCTATTATTATTATTAGTAGTGTTATTACTACTACTACTGCTACTGCTACTTCTATTGCCATTGCTACTAAAGACACTTATCATAAATGATTATTCAAAATAGTGTTACTTTTTCACTTCAAAGGTGAATTATTTCACAATACTGTGGTATTGCCTTTTATGATTTATTTGTTATGTATAATTTGTTATATTAATTGTCACGAAATACTATTGAGACTTTATGGTATTATTACTTTAATATATGATATGAAAGTGTAAAATAATCCAGGCCTTATACAGTAATTACTTTGTAAGGACTATTGGTTAATGTGGCATAGATAGATTCATGAAAACTGTTTTATATGACAGTCATTTATTTACAGTAAAATTATATGTTGTAGATATTTGCATTTACAAGGATACCAATGGAATAAATGGTATACATGCAAAAGAAACAGTGACATATATTTACAATTAAAAGGTTGAAATATGATCCCAGTATAAACAAAAAAGATAATACAAAAAATGTTAATATAAATTCTTTAAATATAAATATTCATTGTAAAAATTAATCTTGATTATTGTAAACATAATGATAAAGAAAAATAAATTCAGAGAACAAAGTGAATGAATAAAAAAATCATCTATTTAGTTAAGAAATTAAATAATTTCATATTTTATCTGCTATGATATGTGAAAAAAAATGTTCAATCATGAGAGAACTCTTTAAACCATGGTTGGTGAAACATTAGTATTGGTTTTAGAAATCTAACTACTTATTGAGAAAATGTCAAAAAGAAAAAGATAAAATAGATAATAAATTTGTTTTTATTATTTTCCTTCTAATGATGCTTTCTTTTTCTAATATTTATTATTTTTCTTTCTACTTAGTAAATTTCATAAGTAATCCTTTCTTTTCTTAGATAAGTTTCTAATGTTTGAGTATCATTTATTTTGAAAATGTAAGGGGCAATTTTTTCACCTTGTACTTTCTTTAAAATATTTCTAATAGTGCTGTAAATTTTGGATTACATAGTAGACCTGATATAGATTAATTTCATATTACTATTTTTATATAGAGGTAGTTCTGTATATTATTTAAGATAACAATGTAATACATTATAATTGTGATAATAATGCTAAATTTTGATTCCTGAAATACTTGGTAATATCAATGTTCACTTTGTCTGATTTTGTTGCAATATGTCCTATATTATGCTATATTTGATAATTTACAAACTTACATATTTATTGATTTTTCTTTTATTAAAGATAATATGATGATTATTTGATAGTAAAGCTTAAAAAAACTAAAAGTATATAACCTGAATTTAAACATAATGATTAATAAAAATAAATTTTAGATATAAATATAGCAGTACTTTTATGTAAACTTTTACTTATTAAAATATTTATTAAGAGATAATTTTCAATATCAAAAGAATAGCTATTTGTGTAAATGATTCTAAAATCTGAAGGATCTTAAGCTTTAAAGATTACGATACTTTTATTATTATTATATTTATCAAAAGATTAATACTTATCTCAAGATAAATTATTTAACCCTATTTAATAAGAAGCAAGTCTCATGTAAACATGAATATGAAGAATATTAATGAAATTTAGTTTTTGACAAAAATAGAATTTTTCACAAGTTTATATATATTATATATTTTATTTAACTTTCTATTACATATGCACTTATATACATATGATGAATGAAATTTTTCTTATCATTAGTATTAAAAAATCTCAGATTTGAAGATTCATATTATACCAAAATTTCTCTTTTTCTTGTATATGATGATATTTTGCAAAACTTTTTATACTATAATTAATTTAACATATATTACATTTAAAATTTGTAACTACTTAAGATATATTATTTGTTTAACTATTAACTTCCATTATTACAATTTACCTATCTATAGTCAACTCTTAATATAATAATTTTAGATTTAATAAATTTTATAATACAATGAATTTTTGATATAATATAGGTTTTTTATATTAAAAAAATCTTGTTATACTTAATTCATGATCTATTTATAAAGTAATGATCGACATATATAAATGTAGGGATAATACATCTATGTAATTTTGTGTTTTTTAGAATCTCGTGTTTTTTACGTATCTAACTTCTTTTTTTAAATTAAAACATATGAGTAAAAGTAAAGAATACACTATAACACTTATTGCTGTAGGTAAAATTGTAGAAAACTTACATTATGGTCTATTTTATCATAGTTAGTGGCTTGTGCAACCTATAAATAAAATCCTACGCATACTTTTCTCCTTCTGATTTGTTTAGAAATGAAAATTCATATGATTTTAAACAAATTTGACTTTATAGTTACAGTTGTAAAAGACACTAAACATCCAAATTCCCCAGGATTTTTGTATTTTTCTGAAAAAAATCAGTCAGGTATATATAGTTCACTAACAGAAGCTATTAATACTTATTATGAAAAAGTTTTCCGTTCAAATGCGAAGTTTCTTGGTTCACAAGTTATAGGCTTTGATAATTCAAATATTATACAACAATTACTTAGTAATATTATATTTCGCTCATATATGATTAGTCTTGAAAAATTGAACATAATTGTATTGGGAATGGGAAAATCAAAAAAACTGGAATGGAACTATGCAGAAGAAGGATATGGGTCTATTTTTCAATCCAATTATAATGGGGTAAAATCTGCTTTTATTCAAGAAATAGAAGATGAGAAATGTGTAATTCAAATATATACTAATGGTACTTTGATAAGGACTTATAACGCTATTGATCCTGATGAAGTTTGGTTATGTATTGGCAGATTTTTAAATTATTCTGGAAAAAATATTTTTGGATTAGAAAATCCATATACACAAATTTGTGTTCAACAAGCACAAATTCCTTCTTGCATGATATCAGATTGGACTTTAGAGGAAGTATTAGAAAATCTTTATAAATATTACTTGAAAAGAAGAATTTTATATGAGATCAGATGGCGTGATTTATTTGATAAATAGTTGAATCAGAAGAGTGATATTTTAGAATTACGGAAAGCTATTTTAGATTTATATTCATCTGATTATAAAATTAATGATTGAAAATAGCGTGCTTGAAGAGCATTTGTTCGAAGTGCAGGATGTATTAATGTCACTCCTTTCAAAAAAGGAGAATCTAAAGTTAGTAATTATTCAAAAAAGCTTGAAGTTGAATTAACTTATTATTTTATTATTTGATAAATAATTTTTTTTGATTTAGTTTGAATTTTAGATGAAATCATATGATGCACAAAAAGATCTTACAATGTTACAAATACTTTACAAATCAGGATTCTTTCAACAAAATCCAGATTATCAAAAAAATCAATCTCTTACATTTTGGCAAGAAAAGAAAAGAATATTAGTAAACATTTTTAAGAAAATTTACCCATTTTAAGAAGAAGGAATTCAACTTACTGGTTGGTTTTCAATGTTCAAAAAAGGTTAGTTCTAAAAAAATAAAAAATAAAAAATAAATAAATTTAAAAAAAAAATCATAAAAAAATAAACGAAGTATCAATGAAAATTAAAATGTTTATTTATTAACTTACCGTCACGTGATTATCTGGACCATTCTTATTGGTCTATTGGGTGACGTTTTTTTATAACGAATTATTCGTTATATAACGAAGGCCTGATCGGTCCGACAAGTTTGACTGTACCCATTGTTAATTAACTTTACTATACTAATAAAGTAAATTCTGTAAATCCTTTGATCTTCCTAATGCAGTATATCATTTCTAGATGATTTTTTTTACTATGATCTACAAAAATTACTTTTTGCAAATCATTTTTAAAGTTTTTTAACTTTGAAATCTCTACACACTATATATAAGATATTTATAATGACAATACTTTAATTATAAGTAAGTTATTTTTTCATACTTATTTATTAATTTTTAATAAGCTGATTTAATATTTATACAAGTAATTTTATTTTAACAAATACAAAAAAAAAAAAAAAAAAACTTTAAATATCATTCGATCAGCTATATCATTTTTTGAACCAATTATATCTAAAGAAACTCCAACTAAGAAGATCCCTTTTTTTGAAATGTCAAAATTAAAATAATCCATTAACTCCTTTTGGAAAAATCATCAATATTATATTTTTAATTTGATTCTATTGACGAAGACCCACATAAGCAAGCTTCATTGCGAAGCCACAGATTTCTAACAATTTGTCTTTTAACGGATTGTTGTAATTTATTTAATAGTAATACATGATCGACATATGATGTGACGAACATACAATTTTGACAATTGTAACCCCCTGCAATTTCCTTGTCACGTCACCTAATGCCCATTTATGATTACGAAAATACACATTTCAATTTATTGGGAACTTCTTTAAATTATTTGAATAATAATAATGTTTTTTAAATCAAAACACACATTGCCAATTTCAGGAACACCAAGGCCTACACCAAAAGGAATTTTATCATGGCTAATAATCAGAATAATTGTGATATCATTTGTCACCTTTTCTGCAATCTTTTCTTTTACACATATATTTTGGAGGTCGTATTTTGGAAGACCAAGAATTTTACATCCTATAACAAGAACATATGGTAAGCAATAAAAAGAAAGAAAAATCATCGAGAAATTGTTCTAATCGATTTAATTATTTGTTTAATTATTTATGTTCCTTAGATACAAAATTAATTTCTCCATTATCCGAATTTAATAATTCAAATCGATTTTCTAAAATGCATTCGAAAACTTCAAAGTTATTTACCGATGGATTGTATCCTTATTATTACCATGCTGAGCATACACCTGAATTAGATGATGTAACAATCGCCACTTTTGTTTCTCAGCAAGGTTTTGATGACTTAATTCGATTAGCCGAAGTTTGGCAAGGTAATTCAATTATTCGGTGGTTACAGTTTCGGTGACTTCACTGAGGTATTAATAACATTATTATATCTCTAACAGGTCCAATATCAGCGATTCTTCATGTACCAACGAAAACACTTGACGACACAGATCCAAGCATTGTAAACATACTCGCAACCTATAATGATTTATATAAAAGGAACGCATTTCTCAAACAACATGTTGATATTCATCTTATAACAGGACCAGTATCTAATAATGTGTCAATATTACCTAGACCCACAAACTTTCACCTAAATGTTGCGAGACTATTCGCTCGTTCAGAATTTGTCTTATTTTTGGATCAAGATACATGGCCAACACAACGTGCGCGAAAAATACTTAGGAAACACAAAAGCCTTCTTTTACAAAATGATATTCTTGTTTTGCCTTCATTTACGTTTACTGAGCTTTCCATAAGTAATGATTTCCCACGTTCATTCGAAGAATTAACAAAATTAGTTAAACGTAATTACATGGGATTAATTGATGATGGTTGGTCACTTAATAAAGGCCCAACAAGTTATGAGAATTGGTTAAAAAAAAGTATATATAATATATCTGAATACGACATTCATTATCAACCAAATTTTGTAGTCAAACGAGGAAGTGTTATTCCATGGTAGGTTTAAAAATGTATGTCTTTTTTTAATTTGAATAATAATAATAAAGTCTTTTTTTTTTTTTAGGTGTACTGAAAGGTTTGATAATTTTGAGCATAGTAAAGCAGCATGTCTGTTCCAAATGTACATTAGTGGATCGAAATTATGGGTAATTCCTGAGGCGTTTTCAATAAAATATCATTATAATCGACATTCGTATCTCCTCAAGGCCGTGGAATCCAAATGGGAGGTTCGTATTAAACAAAAAAAATAATTTCATAATTATTCTATATAAGAAGATACTGAAAAAAATTATTCACTTTTTACATAGAAAACGATTAAGGATCGTATGTACGCTAAATTCTTACGAGAAGCATGTATTCATCATGCAAGAATATTAGATTCCTTGGGTGATTGGAGTACACCAAAAGCAAATCATGTTAAACAACAATGTGATAGAATCATAACAAATTGGGGTCTAGGTATAATTGACGGGTTAAGATTAGATGGTATAGAAATTGTTTGATTAATTAATATAAAATACATTGGTTGATAAATTTTAGTGTAGAATAAAATTTTCTTTTTATTGTAAAATTAATTTAGAAATTAATAATAATTAATAAAATGAAAAATTAAATAAGAGAATTAACTAAAACGCTGATTTCACGGGTTACAATAAATATAAACCTCTCATAACTAAATCCCGTGAAATCGACCCGTAACTCTAATATTTCTCTAAAAAAAATTAAAAGTAATTGATTTTAAGTGCGTAAGATTAATAATCATTAGATTTTTTTTTTTCATTCTATTCTGTTTCATTATTTTGTAATATTGATGAAGTACTAGGCAAATTCGTTAACTCGCTTCTATTTCTGTGAAATTCAATTATCAATTCTACATGTTTAGCATGAGGGAAAAGATCTACTCCGATAGCTTTAACGGGCTTAAACGGTATTCCGGGAAAGGCATTACTAGTAGGTCGACAGATATTCATGAAATTCTGAACAACCGCGTTATGATCACATGAAATATAAATCAAATGTTCGATTGCCTGACATGTACGAAGTGCATTAATGACATTCTTATGAATTCCCGCACGTGGTGGATCTACAATTGCTATAGCGGTCCCAGAAGTACCATGATTGAATTCGTTCAAGGCGGATAAATTTTTTTCAACCGGTCCAAGAATATATTTGGCGTTATTTATTCCATTCAGAGATGCGTTTATTTTGGCATCTTCTATAGCCTCCTCACAGAGTTCAATTCCAACGACTCCTTTGATTGTAGCACCCAAATTTTTTGATAAAACGATGCCGATTGTTCCCGTTCCACAACACATATCTATCAATGTCGGCGACTCTGATGTATCTTTTGATTCATATAATTCTTTAATGATGTCACCACATTTTTGGTACAACAATTCTGCTGCTAGAGTATTTGTTTGGAAAAATGCTGCAGGAGAAATACGGAATCTGCAATCCATCATCTCTTCGTAAACAAATGGTGTGCCATGTATACAATCAAATGGATCTTTATATGAGATCCCATTGCTTAGCCCATCATACATCTGAACTAATAAAGAAGTTAGAT